GCCACAAGTATTATACAATGAAAGTACAGCTGGCAGATTCATGGACAAATCCACAAGAGTATGAGCTGGTGGAGAACCTAATTTTCAAATCTTCGGGAACACTTTTATGGATAGTCACTGTCAATTCTGTAGAAATCATGTGAAGTCATGACATTTCTCCCTTCCATCATGGGATTCATCCCCAAATATCCCAGCAGTGTAAAAATCTTTCTTTAAACCTGACTTTTCCTGTACTGACAACTGCAACCTTTTTTCTACACTACAGGGCCCTGTCATGAAAGCATTCACTCAGTTAAAGCTTGGTTCTCATAGTCAACTCTACATAAAGGTAGTCCCCAACAATTATCCTGATTGACAGGACTTATTGACAATAAAGGAGCCCTAAGCAACAAACATTGAGTAGGGGAGACAGTATGTCTGCTATTACTGATAAACAGGTCTGGGTGACCCTAAATTTTCTAGCAGCAAACTCAAGAAGGTGTAATCTACTGGCCTTTGCTCTACCCTAACAAGCTTTCAATATTCTGTATTTACCCTTCACCTTGATTTCAATTAAAGTAAGATCATAGCCCAGGAGATTAACTGTTTATGCCTTTATCCCTAGGGACACAGGAAAAAAAACTCACTAAACAAACCCCAGCGAAATAAATTCCTTCTCACTTAGTTGCCAGCAGATAACCTGATAGAGCTGTAAGCGAAGTCACCAAAAAATTCCTTTAATTCAGTTAGCAAGATGCTTATGCAAATCATCATGTTTATGCCTTCCTCCCACAGATTACTATGGTTACCACAAGCTGTGTTCCCAGCTGCTGGATAAAGAAGAGGAAGTGCTCAGAAAGTGCAACAGCACTGCGGTATTTTTTACAATTATTACTCACAAACTTCTTACACTTAACTAGTTACACTTAAGAAATGTAGTTAGAGATTAGGGTGTTCAAGTCCTTCTGTTGTAAGATCGCCGGGTTCTGGTGTTTATGAGGGCTGACTGAGAAGCCAAGGACAATGGCACTGGGTTTTCATCCTACTGCATGTACTGGTTTTGTGGGAACCTTGTCTGTTTGGTTGTGCACCTTCCTGGACCTGGATGGAGCCGGGAGGACCTTGGACTTCCCACAGGGCAGGGAACCCTGACTGCTCTTTGGACTAGAGAGGGAGGAGGGGCAGGGGGAGGGAAGTGGGAGGTAGGAAGGAGGTGGAAATTTTTTAATTATAAAAAATAAATAAAAAATTTAAAAAAGGAATGTAGTTAGTGTGTGAAAACTTCTTCTTAGAATTTTGTATTGATTCACTGGCTGTGAAGCCAGTGAGCTTCACAGCCACACTTCCCCCTCTGAGATATAGGCTGCCTCCTTGTCATATTTACTTGTTTCTGTGAAATGAATGCTTAGTACTACTGTTAGCACCTATGGAATTTGCTAACTATGTTTGTGTGGTTATATAAACTAAAAACCTTGTGGAATGGGTAGAACAACAAGGGGAACAGCAAAGAACAGTGAGGAATATCGAGGAGGAACACCGAAAGGAAAAACATCAAGAGAACATCAGAAAGCACATAAAAAGAAGAAATAGGATATGATAAAAGACTTATGTGGGCTAGCTTATTTCGTTTACCCTCAGGTATCTTTAGCAAATTTTCCCCTGCTATAGTGATCCTTCTGAATCCTGAGAGGCTTAGTGGGCTTGACCCCAGCACAAACCTCGGTAGAGTAATAAAGCATACTGGCCTGGTGGCTTTCTCATTGAGAACTGGCTCTCAAAGACCCAGAAGATGCTCTGCAAGGGGCCAAGGGTGGGGAGCAATCTGTAGTCCTATCAAACTGCAAAGTCTACAAACCACAGCAATGACCGGACAGCAAAATATCCACAACAGTGCTATAGTGGTAATTCAGAAGTAATACCCACTCAATAAAAAGGGATTCATGTCTGATACTGTAAATCTAGACAACTACTGGAATTACCTTTAGTTTTATTTTATTTCAAGCCTATAGTAAAACATTTCATTAATGTTGGTAGTAAGGTTCTCATTCATCTTCATTCATAAAAGATGATATCACAAGAAATAAAATTCTAAGTAGGAAGCTATTTCTTTCTCCCACTCAAATGAAGTTTATTGCATCCTGCCTTCCCTTATGTCAAAGTTAGTGATCAATTCAAAGTCTCTTAATGAAAAGTTCTGTACCATCAACATGGGATGCTGCTAAGTGTTTTTTCTCAATTTTTTTATGTTTTGATTGTGTGTCTAGGTGTAGGTCTCATTTTCACTGACTACAGTTAGCTAGGAATCTGAATCACACAGGTTCTTGAAATGACTTTGAAAGTTTATTTCTTCCTTGCAAAGCTACAAAATCTTCTTTCACTTTTTATTTACTTGTTGATACTTGCTTTGTGTCCTAATATATGATTGGTTTTGCAGAGAGTTCCATAGACTCCTAAGAAGAATGTGCATTCTTTTATGCTTGAATGGAAGGTCTGTAGATGTCCCTTAGATATGCTTGGTTTGTGATGTATTTCAACTCCAATGTGCTGTGGGAACTCCTTCAGGCAATAGCCTTTAAGATACTATCCCACTTTGAGTGTGGTCAAATGTACTATAGATACAGATTTAAAAAAAAAAAACAAACGTGTGTAGCTCCTTAGCTGCTTGATTTGTTTCCTGTTCCCTACTCATGCAGAAAGGGCTGCTGGTTTGTGAGTTTACCCTGAAATAAAAAATAATTTATTATATTCCATTCTGAGCTAGTGTGGAACTATTTTATTATAATCACAACACCAATGCTCCCTATTTCATTTTTGTTCATATGATTTGTCTAAGAGAAAGTAGGGTATACAGTTTTATACGTAGTGTTTCTTTTATAAAATTAGGTGCTTCTTTGTTTGGCATAAATTTTTAGAATTGTAATACCCTCTTGATGTATTGGCCATTTAATAAGTCTGAAGTAACTTTCCTTAGTTCCTCTGACTACTTCTGGTTTAATGTCTGTTTTGTCAGATATATAATCTATAACCGAGCAGCACAAAGAAAGGAAAGTAAATGAAGACAGATAATGTAAGAGTCTGTTTCAGGGCCACAGATACAGTGGTTGACCAATGTGTAACATGAACGGCTTTTAGTTTAACACTTTGTACCATTAAGGAAGGAAGTCTATTGCATTAAATTAAAGAGAGTGTTGAGTTTCTAAGGAAACATGGTAGCAGAGAATGTAGTGAGAAATCACTTGGTTCTGCACATCTGACAAAAGTAGCAATGGATAGAAAAAGAAATAGATACAGGAGTCACAGAAAGGGGAATCTACCCAATATCAAGACTTCTTTCTTAGCCAGAAAGACTATTATCATATGTACTCACTCATAAGTGGTTTTTAAACATAAAGCAAAAACCAGCCTACAAATCACAATCCCAGAGAATCTAGACAATAATCAGGATCCTAAGAGAGACATATATAGATCTAATCTACATGGGAAGTAGAAAAAGAAAAGATCTCCTGAATAAATAAGGAGCAGGGGGACCATGGGAGAGGGCTGAAGGGGAGGGGAGAGGAAGGGACAGGAGCAGAGAAAAATGTAGAGTTCAATAAAAATGAATAAAAAAGAGTTTTTTGAGCAAAAGAAATAGAGCAAAGTTCCATAAGAGTCACTACGTAGAACAAGATCCTTCGATCATGCAAAATCACTGTGACCTCATGAAGTAGCATAATGTCTATGTGTCCTAGTTGAGAACACATAGTTGGGACGCCCTAGCTATTTGTCATTTGGAAATGTGTAACTAAACCAAACCTACACCATTTTTTTTTACTTATTCTGTACTGTATGGGGGGGGGGGTAAAAGTATATGTGCCTTAATCTGAAAATAATTAAAAAATAAAGTGCTTGCCTGTCAAGTATGGGGAGATAAATTTGTATTCCAGGAATTCACATTTTTAAAAAATTGGCTCTGTGATGCACCTGTAATCCAAGTATGGCAGCTTTGAAATGTTTTTATATACAGTATTCTGATGAGAAGTACTAAGCATTGTTTTTTTTTCTATGAATGCCAAACAATTAGTTACATTCTTTAAATTCCTTATGAAAACCAATATATAAAAAATTCTGGCTCAAGAGCATAGTAGTCTCTCCTTCCCTCTGTCCTTCTCTCCCTCTCTCCTCTCTCCCTATCTCTGAAGTGATCATTTGAAATTTCAACTTCAACAAGCATAATGCAATTTTGGATACTAAGAACATGTAATAGTTCCACAAATAATAAATCAAATGACAAAAAAGTAACCATTTTAATCATCACCTAGAAATAAAATTGTTAATAAATGAGATAAGATAAACAAGTTATTGACAAAACAACTGAAATGATCGTTAAAATGTCATATTTCATGATCATTTATTCTACATATAAAACTTTACATTTAAAGCCTTAGGTTTTGATGGGTTTTCTCAAACAGGGGAGATGTAATTTTTATATGTATTTTGAGTACTTCCACTTTGTGATTTTTTTCCCTCTATAGTAAATGACAATGACAGTAAAAGCAAAATAAAAAAAAGTCTTATTTCAGGTACTTGGATTCATGGTTCTAAAAATGCAGAACCACCTGCCATGATGGCACATGCCTTTACTCCCAGCACCTGGGAGGCAGAAAGTTAAGGTGCTCTCTGTGAGTTCCAGGACAGGCTGATCTAAACAATGAGCTTTAAGTTGGCCAGGGCTGTACGAGATCCTGTTTCTAAAGGAGAAAAAGCAGAACCAAAGAATCAGTGAAGATAAATGTCAAAAGTTTTATCAGTGAAAGCATAAATGAAGTAGAAATAAGAGGAGGAAAAGAAAATAATGTAATTCTAATAGGGAGAAAGTCTGTAAGAAGGGAAGGAAGCTAAGGAGGCGATAGAGGATACAGAAATATGGCTGCAACATCAACAAAACACAAACACAAATGAGGCCACACTTTTGCAAATAAAAGGGAGAAAAATCACGAGTGTTCTACAAGCCAAAACAAAATTGAAGAAAACTCATATGTTGTCTTTGAATTTATTTAAGTTTGTCAGAACTCTTGTCTGGTGCCCCTAAGGAGCTCATCTAGTATTTTGGGTGTGTTCCTTGCCTACTGAGATTCAGCTGTTCTTCCAAGCACTCCCAGAAATGGTCTAAGACCCAGACCTGAGTGCAATCCCCATCTACTCAGGAACAGTTCAGCAGATGGAGTTTTTTCCAAGGTCTATTTTGTCAAGTCATCTGTTCACATGGTTCTGGCAAAAATTTTCTCTCATTTCAACCTGCGGTGCTCCTATGATTCCGCCAGGCCTCAGCCAATATTATCAATAGAATCAGGAGGACCAGCCCTGCCACACCCATTCTAATTGAATTCTCCAGGGTGTAATCCTTCATGACAGAACCTGTGTGAAAAGAGAAACATAATGAGTGGACCAGGCCATACATCACAGGATTCTGAAATGCAGTTCTTTTCTGCCTACCTTAAAAGAGTTATTTCTTTAATCAAATTGAGAGTTGAAATCAACAAAATAGAAACAAAGAAAGCAATACAGAGAATCAATGAGACAAAGAGTTGATTTGTTAAGAAAATCAACAAAATAGAGAAACTCTTATCCAAATTAACCAAAAGGCAGAGAGAGAATTTCTAAGTTAACAATATCAGAAATAAAAAGTGGGACATAACAACAGACATGAAGGAAATCCAGAGAATCATTAGGTCATATTTTGAAAACCTGTACTCCATAAAATTGTAAAACTTAAAGGAAATGGACAACTTTCTGGATAAATATCACTTACCAAAATTAAATCAAGACCAGATCAGCAAATTAAATAGACTTATAACTGATAAAGAAATAGAAACAGTCATCAAAAGTCTCCCAACCAAAAAAGCCCAGGACCAGATGGTTTCAGTTTAGAATTCTGCAATATTTTCAAAGAAGAACTAATACCAATACTCCTCATGTTGTTTCACATAACAGAAACAGAAGAAACATTGCCAAACTCTTTTTATGAGGTTACAATTACCCTGATATCCAGACCACATAAAGGTATTACTAAGAAAGAGAATGACAGACCTATCTCACTCATGAACATTGATGCAAAAATATTATATAAAACACTAGCAAATTGAATCCAAGAACATCAGAAAACTCATCCACCATGATCAAGTCAACTTCATCCCAGAGATCCAGGGATGGTTCAACAGATGGAAATCTGTCAATGTAATCCACCATATAAACAAACTGAAAAATAAAAACCACATGATCATCTCATTAGATACTGAAAAGCCTTCAACAAAATACAACATTCCTTCATGATAAAGGCTTTGGAGAGAGCAGGAATACAAAGAACATACCTAAACATAATAAAGGCAATATACAGCAAGCCAACACCCAACATCAAACTAAATGGAGAGAAACTCACAGCATTTCCCCTGAAATCAGGAATAAGACAAGGTTGTCCACTCTCTCCATATCTATTTAATATAGTTCTTGATGCTCTAACTAGAACAATAAGACAGCAAAAGGAGATAAAAGGTTTACAAATCAAAAAGAAGTCAAACTCTCACTATTGGCTGATGACATAATAGTTTACATAAGTGATCTCAAAACTCCTACTAAGGAACTTCTACAGCTCATAAACACTTTCAGTAATATAGCAGGATACAAGACTAACTCAAAAAAAAAATTAGCAGCCCTCCTGGGCACAGATGATAAATGGGCTGAGAAAGAAATCAGAGAAGCATCACTCTTCACAATAGACACAAATAGCACAAAATATCTCAGAGTAACTCTAACCAAACAAGTGGAAGACTTGTATGACAGGAACTTTATGTCTTTGAAAAAAGAAATTAAAGAAGACACCAGCAAGTGGAAAGATCTCCCATGCTTTTGGGCTGCTAGAATTAACATAGTAAAAATGGCAATCTTACCAAAAGCAACAAACAGATTCAATGCAATCTCCATCAAAAATCCCACCAAATTATTCACAGACCTCGAAAGAACAGTACTCAATGTCATATGGAAGGCCAAAAACCCAGAATAGCCAAAACAATCCTGTACAATAAAGAAACTTCTGGAGGCATCACGATTCCTGACTTAAAACTCTACTACAGAGCTATAGTACTGAAAACAGCCTGGTACTGGCATAAAAATAGACAGGAAGACTAATGGAACCAAATGGAAGACCCAGAAATTAATCCACACACCTACGAACACCTGATTTTTGACAAGGAAGCAAAAAATATCAAATGTAAAAAAAGAAAGCACATTTAACAAATGGTGCTGGTATAACTGGATATCAACATACAGAAGAATGAAAATAAATTCACATCTATCACCATGCACAAAACTCAAGTTCAAATGGATCAAATACCTCAACATAAAGCCAACCACACTGAACCTTTCAGAAGAGAAAGTGGGAAATACTCTTTAATTCATTGGGACAGGAGACCACTTTCTAAATGTAACCCCAGGAACACAGACACTGAGAGAAACAATCAATAAATGGGACCTCCTGAAACTGAAAAGCAAAGGAAATGGTCAACAAGGCAAAATGGCAGCCTACAGAATTGGAAAAGAAAACTCAAGCAATTGGTCATCAAAAGAACAAATAATCCAGTAAAAAATGGAGTACAAACCTAAACAGAAAACTCTCAACAGAAGAATGGCTGAAAGACAAAGAAAATGCTCAATATCCTTAGTCATCAGAGAAATGCAAATCAAAATAACTCTGAGATTCCATCTTACACCTGTAAGAACGGCCAAGATCAAAAACACTGATGATGACTTATGCTGGAGAGGTTTGGGGATAAAGGGAACACTCCTGCATTGCTGGTGGGAGTGCAATGTTGTATAGCCCCTTTGGATATCAGTATGGCAAATTCTCGGAAAATTAGGAAACAGCCTTCCTTAAGATCCAGCAATATCACTTTTGGGTGTATACCCAAAGGATACTCAATTGTACTACGTGAACATGTGCTCAACTATGTTCATAGCAGCATTATTTATCATAGCCAGAGTCTTCAAACAACCTAAATGCCCCTCAACCAGAGAATAGATAAGGAAAATGTGGTACATTTACACAATGGAGTATTTCACAGCAGAAATTCTCAGGCAAATGGATGGACCTAGAAAACATTATTTTGAGTGAGGTAACTCAGACCCAGAAAGACAAATACATGTTCTCAAATACGTCCTCACTCATAGTGGCTTTTACACACAAAACAAAGAAAATCAGCCTACAAATCATTATCCGAGAGAACCTAGACAGCAATGGGTACCCTAAGGGAGACATACATGGATCTAATCTACATTTCTTTCTATAGCTAGCAAAAAAACAACAACAACAAAAAATCAAGATCTCCTGAGTAAATTGAGAGCATAGGGACCATGGGAGAGGGTTGAAGAGGAGGGGAGAGAAAAGGAGGGAAGCAGAGAAAAATGTTCAGCCCAATAAAATTAATTTTAAAAAACGAGTTAAAAAGTATTATTTCTGTCCAGACAGAGTCTTCTGGCCTGAAATCACTATAATTCTCTTAGGGAAACCACATTCAGTTATCTCTTAGCCTTGCAAGTGTCCTTTGAATTTCTTGGTTTTTGAGTTTGTACACAGGCCTGTTGATGACTATCATCTTTCTCCTCCCCATGCTAAGTTTGAATCTGTTCTATTGCTGAACTCACGAGTGGAGATCCTCCATGGGCACATGTCCATTCACCCGAATGTTCTTTGCTGTTACCTCAACTGAAATAGCCTATATTTCTCTTCAGTCTTGTAGAAGGACATGGGGTACCATTGTCCTCAGTTTCATCTGTGTCCAATGTGAATATCCAGGACATATTTTCTCTTCCCCCCCCCCAAAATATGGGACCAATAAGAAACCCTTCTGGAACTTGCACATCTAGGGTTAGAGTCTGAGTTATAGTTGTGATGTAATGAACTAGGGTATGTTCAAGAAGAAAACAGAGGCAAGACCTGGTGATGAAAGATTAAGAGAGAAGATAGATTCAAGGACAGGACAACTGTAAGGAATCTTAAAATCTTTTATGATGTCCACCCATGGTATTCACAGACTTCCTGTGTCCCTACCCTCTGAGATGAGTATTCCTGGTACTTTACCTTGTGTGAGGTTAAAATGATATGAAGAGTTGCTGGCATCAGGAACTGAGAGGGAGAAGAAGAAGAGAAAAATGAGATCTTGAGTATTCCTACAACAGCTTTTAGCCCACCTCTTTCTTCTCTGCTTTCTCCAAGAACTTTACATCTATTGTATCTAAAATCATTTCTCTATAAGAATGTTCACTAATACTTCCTGGCACCATATGCTAGTGACCCTTTTCTGAGTTTAATTTCATGCTGTCATTCTCTTGAATATTAATTTATTCTTTGAATTTTATCATCATGATGAGTTTGGCAGTAATACAATGTACAAAACCAGACTGAGAAAGAATATATTTTCTATCACTTTTTGGGAGTTTAAGTGTGCTGTTCTATAAAAAGGTAAAAATAAAAAACATATCCCATCTACCTTTCTTTGTAGATTAGTGGAATAATAGTATGGAGATTTTCTGTAGCCAACCTATGCATCAATGAGTTTATTTTTAAAAAAAAAAGTGTGACGTGCTGTTTATGGAGAGTTAGGAAAATATGCTTTTCTGATTCAACAATCCATTTAATTTCTATATCTTTTTCTATATTAAAATTTTTCTATAATAAAAATATATATTACTATGCTAGTAATCAAACCTAGGGTCTTGTCTTACCTTCACATGTTAGGCAGATGCTCTACAAATAAGACATACTCCCAAGACTCTTGCATTTTATTTTTTTAAAAGGTTGTTTAATGTTTATTTTGTGCTTATGGGTATTTTGCCTGCATGTGTGACATTTACAGATTTCATGCCTCATACTGAAAGAGGCCAGAGGAGAGCATCAGAGCTCCTTAACTAGAGTTACAGACTGTGTGGGTACTGGAAACCAAACCCAAGTCATTTGCAAGAGCAACAAGTGTTCTTAACTACTAAAATATTTCTTCAAACCCCAGATATTTGTTTTCAGAGATTTATTTTTAATCATGTGTGTGTGTTTATGTGTTTCTCTGTGTGTATATATACTCACATGAGCTCAGAGAAGTTGGAGGTCAGAAAATATCCCTTGGATATGGAATTATAAGTGATTGTGAGCCACCTGGTGTGGGTGCTGGGAAGTGAACTTGAATCTTCTTAAAGAGTATTAAGTGCTTTTAGCCAATTAGCTACCTTTACAGCCTTTGATTTTTTAAAAATATTTTATTTTATTATAGTATCCATGCATTTGAGTGTTTTGTCTATATTATGTATGTTTGTGTGTATGTAGACCCATGTGTGCAGTGCCCACTTTGGTCAGAAGAGGGCATTTTATCCTCTGGAACTGAAGTTACAGTTGGTTGTGAGCCATTATGCAGGTGGGTGCTGGGAACTGAATCCTGGACCTCTACAAGAGCAATAAGTTCTTTTAACCTCTGTGCCATCTCTCCAGCTACTTACATTTTTTAAGTTAACTGCTTCCTCATTCTCTCTCCTTCTCCCTCCCTCTCCACATTCTTGTGTGTGTCCTTGTCTCTGGTTTACTTGACTCTACTTATCTCTTTTGGACCCAAACTACAGTTTTTCTCCTGAGTCATTCTATAACATCAGTGATTATTTTGAAATACAGCCTTAGAAACCAGTTTGGAGATAAAGGAAAGAAATTCAAACACACAGGTATTGGTGTTTAGCCCCTTCACCCATTATCATAATGTAAAACCATTATGACTTAGCCAGAGGAAGGACAGACTGTCCAACTAAAGGCAATGTAAGGAATCATGGGGAAGCAGCACGGGAAAACACAACACAGCCCTGAAACTCAGGTCAGGCCCAGGAGATGTCTACTTTCCTTGGATGAGAAAAGAAATGTAGTAAAGTGGAAACTCAGTTTGTGAACTTCCTAGGTCTCCTGACAAGGTAGTGATGGAAAAGGCCTCTTTATGACCCATGCATTGTATCACCATGGTTTCTCTGCTGCTCGTCTTTGTTCATAACTTCTCGGATTCCCCTATCTATGTTTTGAAAAATTATTTAATTTTTGAGACTGAAATATATCACTCTCCTTCCCCTTTCCTCCCTCAAACCACTCTTGTCTGTTTTTATATAATATGAACTTGAGTTTCCTTTATCCTTGTCTCCATCATTAAAACTCTCATCAAGTCTACTACCTTCCATAAGTATTCAATACTTACCAACCTCCTGTCCTAGGCCTTCCCAATTCCAGAATTGCCAATACACATATAAAACAGAGTCTAAGGAATAAGTCTAGAGACTCTCACCTGTGACAACCATGTCCAGTGGGTCACTTGGGTCTGACCACACATAGGAATGTTGACTAGAAGAACCGTAACACCTGTAGGTCCCAGCATGCGCTGAAGTCACAGGAGATAGAGAGATGTTGGCTTGAAATCCTCCAGTATAAGGTTTTCCAACAAGATACAAGTGGCTTTCATTTACATCCTTTCTGTTCACAACCAGAATGAATGTCTCAAACATGGCTTCTGAACAGCATTTTAATGTCATCATCGCTCCTGATTTTATTGGAGGAGCTGGTAGGGCCAAGAGGGAAGGCTTTCTGTAGAGTCCTAAAAATAGATATTATGAATTTGAGGGTCACTCTTCCTCACTCCACATCATGGAAACTGGGATAGCAAAGGTTCTCCAACCCCAAGTTGTTCCCCCTACTCATAAACCCATGTCCTCTTCAGTGGCTGTCTCTACCCACTTAACCATTTCTTTTCGTCTTTGGCTCAGTTCTCTGTCTAATAGTTTCAGGCACCATCTGACTGGGGTTGTCCCACGCAGATGATTGTTGTATTCATCTACCAGAGATCTTTTCCATTTTCTATGATGGATGAGGTTAGAAATCATGGCATTCTAGGTTTCACATTCCCCTCTGTATACAATTCATGCTTTTTTGGGGGGGAAAATGAAATCCCTGACAGGATGTTGTGGTAGCAATAAGGCAACTGACAGGAGTTCTCCTATGCTTCCCTCCTGATCTTAGACTGATTCACCTAGTGTGCCTGGGCCTTGTCTGTGGTCCCAGCTCACAGAGGGCAACCTTGAGTCTGGATTCAACAACATCACCCCCTGTCATCCTGGTGGCAGCATTAGTACCCTGGTCAAACTTGTCTTGGCATCTCTTCTTTTCATGTTTGTCTCTGATTTGGGTACATTTTTAGTTGTTAATTGTTGATGTTAGAAATGACCATAAAGATGACATAGGAAGAAAAAGTACATGTGTAATATCTTACAGTTCTGGAGGTGAAAAGTCTGAAATTAGCCCACTGGTACAAGTTTCATTTCTTAAGGGTTACATTTCTTCCAAAGGTTTCAGGAGGAGGGCATATTTCTTTTTTCTCCAGATTATAGAAGCCTCCCGTACTCTGTGGCTTGTGAACACTTGGTTTTCAGAACCAGAAAAATGGGGTATGTCTATGTCTCATGCTGCCTTGCTCTGACCTTCACTATCCTCCTTCTTCTCTCTTATGAGATATTGTAGCTATTCTAGCCTATGTGGACCATCCAGGACTCTTTCTTCATCATAAAGCCAACTGATTAAACCGTGAATTGCATTCTTAACCTCTGTTCCCCTTCCATATGAGAGTTGTTTTGTACCAACTCTCCAGTGAGATCTCAATAGGATCTCAGGAAAACTGCATTAGTACCTTCTGAGTATAGTGTGCTTCATACTCTAACCATCTCATATTAAGCCTCACTCTTAAAGATCTCTCTATCACAACACATTCATACTTGGAACCAAGTTTTTAGCACATGAACTTTAGGTGGAGGTTAAACAACCAAACTATCAAGCCACATGACAAATTAATTGATTCTAGGGTTGAGAATATGAATATCATTAGGGGAAAACTTTCCTGACTACCTCAGTACCCAGTCCCCTGTACTGATGTTTCTGGAGCCTGAGACACTTGAAGATATCTCCACTATTCTGGGAACTCCTAAATAATAATTGTACTCATGACCTCAATAGAAATTGTGGAACAATGAAGAATACCTCTGCCATGAGTTGTCTCACCTGTAACTATGATTAACAAGGACTCACTGATTTCTGAAAATTTATAAGGGTCATTAGGTTCAAAGCTCTGACATCTATAGGTCCCCACATGTGCCATGGTCATGGGGTTTATGTCAAAGCTGTGTCGTAATATGATGTTTTGGAACTCCAGGTTGTGGACTTCATTTTCTTTGAATAAACGGAACACTTCAAACCCAAGTTGGGACAGACACTTCAGGGTCACATGCTCTCCAATGGGAACGAGAGAACTGGGCCAAGCAGACAGGGTGGGCTTGTCAAAAACCCCTGTGAAGAGAGAATGGTCCAATCTTAAAAAGGAGGAGGCAGGAATACCTTTTTCTTTGTGCTCAGTATCTCTCCTTGCTTGTGTATTTCTAAAGTTCCTTCCATGCCAATACACCCAGAAGTACATAATGACACCACATACTACTGAAACTTTTGAGCAATTACTGCATAAGAGATCCAATGTGCTAGGAAAATCAATTATATATAAAAAAGAAAGTCATCAACCAAGAATGAAATGACATCAAACTGCATCAGTTTGCATTAAGCAACTGAGTCTGTTTAAAATAATCTGGAATGTCCAGGAGACAGTAAAAAGTCTCCCTACCCCTTCTGGTACAATAACAGTTGACCTCTGCATGCTCCAATATCTTGGATATTTTTGGGGATCTTGCATCCTAATCTGTCCTTAAGAGGGACGGTTATTCCATTACACAGATGGCATCACTTTTCCTAGACACTCAGGACTCTTCCAGTTCCTTTGTCCCCAGTGTTGATTGATTCAATCAAGGAAAGAGAATCTGTGAGTCTCTGGGACAGAATCAGAAAGCATATTTCCAGGTCTTTCACCTTCTAACTTACAAGATGTCAGTCACAGGCCATCCTGTTAGTCTTTACACCAGCCCAATCCCTGTGCTGTTTTCTTTCTTGTTACAGAAAAATCTTTCTATGTAGCATGGGAAGTAATCCATAGTTTGGGGTTAGACTCACCCACTTGTGCCCATGTATTCTGCAACAACAAGAATCCTGGAGGGAAAAAAAAGAATCCTGGAGGAAAAGACACTTAAGAGGTGAACTGTCTCCTACTGCCCCTCTGCCCCTGTTGATTCTCTGTACATTAGAAGTCAGAGCCCACTTAGTGAAGATGAACTCATGCACCAACTTCCACCATTGCATGGAAGCCAGGTTCACTGCTGTGGACAGATCCAGCATCCCTAGCTAATATTTCCACCCTTGTATTCCACATCATTCTTTCCCAGGAGAACTTACCAGAACACAACAGGCTAAGGACCGCAGGCAGCATGGTACTGCTTCTGCTGACAGGAGGCAGTTTCCCCAATAAAACCATACAGGATTTCCTGAGAGACTCAACTCATCTGTTTCACTTGTTGACCACAGCTGAGAAAACAGATACATGCTGGCTACTTGCATGTTATATGTGGCTCAAAAATCATGAAGAATTTCAGAAAATTCTCACTACTCAAAGTCTTACTTTGCAGATGTTTACCATGACTATATTGGAACATGTCTTGACCTCAATTCCTCTTATTCAAAGCCATAAAATAAGGTAATTATTTCTTTTTTTAAGGTAGTTACTTCAAAACTGTATCTTTATGTGTTTTTATACAAGATTTAAATATTCTTCCTCTACAGTGTACAAACATCAAATGGAGTGGGATGATTCTATATTCTGTCAATTATATTTTAAGTAAACGCTGATTGGCCAATAGCCAGACAGGAAGTATAGGTGGGAAAATCAGACAGAAAGTAGAGGTGGGGCTATGAGAACAGAAGTATTCTAGGAAGAAGGAAGCTCTTCCCAAAATCTTTCCCAGATCACAGAAGAAGTAGCATGTGACCTGTCCCACTGCAAAAGGTACCAAGCCATGTGGCTAACATATATAAGAATAATGGGCTATATAAGTTATAAGAGCTAATACAAAGCCTGATCTAATGGGCCAATCAGTTTGTAACTTATGAAGACCTCTGCGTGATTTTCTTTGGGGCTAAGCAGCTATGGGACCTGGTGGGAGGACAGAAACCCCCAACAAGCCCAGCCCTTGTGTGAAATCAAATGAGTACTTTCAATATAATAATCATTACATGTAAATAAGCATGAGTTTTACACTAATACTTCTAGATTGGTTAAGATTATAATGATTTCATTTCCAATTCAACTGATAATATAGTTACTGAGAATCATAAAAACCCACTTCTGAAGAAAAGCCCAAAACATGTATGTTTGCAGGACACTGCCATCTGAAATTTATGACTCAGGGATCCACTTCTTTTTCTTTCTCTTCCTCTCTCCTTTCTGTATTTCTACCCTCTCTTTTCTCTGTTTATCAGCTTGTTACATAATTTCCTACTGCCCACTTAACATAATTGAATAAAATTGCCAGTGCTCAAATTTTGAATTCCAAAAGAAAAAATTGCCTAGACATTTTAAGAAAAAATATTAAAAAGAAAATAGAACGTGGTAATTCCTAAGCATTCAAATCAACAATGTTTTATCTTTAGTCCTTACAGATTTTCTTTTAGAATGTTTCTTTGGGGAGGTCTGAAAGACTGGGAGATGGTTCCATTGTTAACTGTACTTACTGCTCTTGCAGAGGAACTGGGATCAGTTTCCAGTACCCCCATGAAACTGGAGTTACAGGTTGTGAACCACCATGCCCTCTTCTGGACTCTTAGGCCAACTCTATGCACACACAAAGACAGAGTCACACACAAAAGACATAATGAAATTAATATCATCTTTAATCTATTTTTCACTCATTCTTTGGAAATTTCATACATGTAAATAATTTCTCTTGGTAATATCCATTCCTATTTTCTCTGTACAACTACTCCTCTATCACCCCCAACACATCTCTTTTCTTCCTCTGAGTACAGATATTGTTCCTCATGTACACATGGGTGAGGGCCCATTAACTTAAGTATGTGCACCAAGATTCACATCTCTGAAGAAAACTGACTCTCCCTTCCCCAGCAGCCATCAGTTGCCAATAGCTCCGCAGTTAGAGGTGGACCCTCAGAAACACATCTCCTAGTCATACTGGAATATTAAATAAGTTGGAACCAACTCTACACTGCCCCAACTGTCACCCTTTTGTCTCCTGTGTCCTTGGAATACCAGCTATCCCTATTTCAGTGCTGAGGAGTTCTATCCAGAGAGGTGAGTGTATGCTAACCGGGGCGGACTGTCCCGGAAGAGAGCACAGCCCCCACCTCAGCTTCTGTGGCAGGGTCTTCATTGTTCCACTGGACTCTACCCTGCCCCCACAGTTGCCATTTTGTCAACTGTGTCCTTGGAATACCAGCTGTCCCTATTTCAGTGCTGAGGAGTTCCACCCAGAGGGTGCTGAGGAATTCCATCCAGAGGGCTATTCCTCTGTCTGTGCTGAGGAGTTCCATCCAGAGGGTGCTGAGTAGTACCATCAAGAGCGACAGGAACAGTTTCTGCCCCTGCACTGAAAAGATCCATCCAGAGAGTCAGTAACAAAAAACTGAACCAAGACACCAAGACTCTCCTGGCTCCATTTGAAGGAAGAGATGGGCAGGCGCCAATGCAAGAATTCCTCCAACAACCTGAAAGGCAACATGACATCACCAAAATCCAGGGATCACGAAACTAAAAGAATTGAACACCCTACTCCAGAAGAAATAGAAGAAATCAACTCTAAGAGGAACTATATGAAAATAATAGAGGAACTTAAACAGGAGGTGAAAAATCTGCAATAAAGAAATGGAAGAGAGGTATAACAAAAAGATTGAAGAAATGAGTAAAGAAATGGAAGAGAGGTATAACAAAAAGTTTGAAGAAATGAGTAAATCTGTAAATGAAAACCTGGGAAACCAAGAAAAAACAGTCAAACAGGTAATGGAAACAGTTCAAGAATTGAAAACTGAAATGGAGGCAATGAAGAAAACACAAACCGAGGGATGGCTGGCTATGGAAAATCTAGGTAAATGAACAGAGACTTCAGAAACAAGCATAACCAATAGAATACAAGAGATAGAAGAACAAATCTCAGATTCTGAAGACACCATAGAGAAAATAAACGCTCTGACCAAAGAAATCAGCAAATCCAATAAATTCTCATCACAAAATATTCAGGAAATCTGGGACACAATAAAAAAAAAACCAAATCTAAGAATAATAGGGGAAGAAGAAGGAGAAAAATTGCAGATCAAAGGCCCAGAAAATATATTCAACAAAATTATAGAAGAAAACTTTCCCCAACCTAAAGAATGATATTGCTATGAAGGTTCAAGAAGCATACAGAACACCGAATAGATTGGATCAAAAAAAAAATCCCCTCGCCATATAATAATCAAAACACAAAACGTTCAGATCAAGGAAAAAATATTAAGAGCTGCCAAGGAAAAAGGTCAAGTAACTTACAAAGGTAAACCAATCAGACTTACACCGGACTTCTCTATGGAAACCATGAAAGCCAGAAGGTCCTGGATAGAGGTACTGCAGAAACTAAGAGACCACGGATGCAAGCCTAGACTACTATACCCAGCCAAGCTATCGTTCACTATCAACGGAGAAAACAAAATATTCCAGGAAAAAAACAAATTTAAACAATATGTAGCTACAAATCCAGCCATACATAAAGTATTAGAAGGAAAATCACAACCCAAGGAATCCAACATTGCCAACACTGCCTACAATACCTCAGATATCTAGCGACCCTTCACAAGCACAACTCAAAGAAGAGAAACACATACACTCTACTATTCCCCCACCAAAAAAAAGGAAAATAACCGGATTCAACAACCACTGGACATTAATATCATTTAATATCAATGGACTCAACTCACCAATAAAAAGGCACAGACTTAGAGATTGGATACAAAAACAGGATCCAACATTCTGCTGTTTACAAGAAACACACCTCAACCACAAAGACAGACACCTACTCAGAGTAAAGGGTTGGGAAAAGGTTTTCCAAGCAAACTGACCTAGGAAACAAGCAGGTATGGCCATTCTAATACCTAACAAAATTGACTTCAAACTAAAATCAATCAGAAGAGATGGAGATGGACATTTCATACTCATAACAAGAACAATTCATCAGGAGGAAATCTCAATCCTGAATATCTATCTCCCTAATATAAAGGTACCCACTTATGTAAAAGAAACACTTCTAGAACTCAAGGCAGTAATCAAACCACACACACTAATAGTAGGAGACTTCAACACACCTCTCTCACCAATGGACAGGTCAATCAGACAGAAACCTAACAGAGAAATAAGAGAATTATTGGAGGTATTGAATCAAATGGACTTAACAGACATCTGTAGAACAGTTCACCCAAATAGGAAAGAATATACTTTCTTCTCTGCAGCTCATGGAACCCTTCTTGAAAATTGACCACATACTCGGTAACAAAGCAAACATCCACAGATACAAAAAAAATATTAGTAACCACCTGTGTCTTGTCTGATCACCATGGATAAAAGTTAGAATTCAACAACAATGCTACCCCCAGGAAGCCAACAAACTCATGGAAGTTGAACAGTCAAATATTAAATCACCCCTGGGTCAAGGAAGAAATAAAGAAAGAAATTGAAGTCTTCCTTGAATTAAATGAAAATAAAGACACAACATACTCAAACCTATGGGACACTGTGAAAGCAGTGCTAAGAGAAAAGTTCATAGCACTAAGTGCCCAATTAAAGAAAGTGGAGAAAGCACACATTGGAGACTTAATAGCACACTTGAAAGCTCTAGAAAAAAACAAGCTGATTCTCCTAGGAGGAGTAGAAGACTGGAAATAATCAAACTGAAGGCTGAAATCAACAAAATAGAAACACAGAATATCAATCCAAAGAATCAATGAAACAAAAAGCTGGTTCTTGCAGAAAATCAACAAGATCGACAAACCCCTATCCAAACTAATCAAATGGCAGAGAGAGAACATGCAAATTAATAAGATCAGAAATGAAAAGGGGACATAACCACAGACACAGAGGAAATTCAGAGAATCATTAGATCTTACTACGAGAGCTTATATGCCACAAAGTTAGAAAATGTAAAAGAAATGGACATTTTTTTAGATAAGTATCATATACCAAAGTTGAACCAAGACCAGGTGAACAATCTAAATAGACCTGTCAGTCATGAAGAATTAGAGGCTGTTATCAAAAATCTCACTACCAAAAAAAGTACAGGACCAGATGGTTTCAATGCAGAATTCTACCAGAACTCCCAAGAAGAGCTAATACCTATACTCCTTTATGTATTCCACAATATAGAAACAGAAGAGCCATTGCCAAACTCCTTTTATGAAGCTACAGTTACTCTGATACCAAAACCACACAAAGACACAACCAAGAAAGAGA